CAGACTACACCCCGAATTGGAGATGAGCCGGTGTCTGCTCGCCGTCTCAGCAAAGACAACCCAAGCTTCCCGCTTTCCTACAAAGGTAAGCAGAGCTGGTTGAAACAGAGTACAAGTACTCCGATACTTGTACTTATGTTACAACTTTCGGTACTTTTACTGTACTCCAGTACATTTTTGAGAATCAGTACTTTTACTCTACTCCGATGCTTTTTTATAAAAGCTGTCCCTGCAGAATTATGCAAATTTAGATGGCCAAATTAAGCAAGACAAATGAAAAATTATGCAAATTACCATAACGCTATTCACAACATGTTTTGCGCTTTTTCAACAAGAATTTTCATGTTTTAGAACTATGTACAGAAGAATTGAAAACCTGAACATATCAGTATCAGTAGTTTTTTGAGTATTTGGAAAGAACACATCAATCAAAAAGAAAAAAAACCCCAAAAATATAATCTCTGTAACTTGGGGAAAAAATGATTTTTACCAATTAAAAAACAACAACATCTGAACCTCTGATGCTGGCACATCACTAAAACCAGGGACACCTGTCAAACAAGAAACATTAGCAGACATGAGAATAACTTACTTTTGATTGATTGAAAAATTGAACATGCTCAAGGAACAAAAATCCCTAACAAGGGAAATAACCAACTTGACAAATGAGACTCATTACTCTGATTACTTCCCTATAGTCACATAGCAAGGTGTTTAGTACATTGCTTTTTTGTGAAAAATGTGAAAAAACACGGGGAATCCAAAATTATCCACATGGTGTAGAATTATGCGAAAAAAACGAGGCCACACAATCGCATAATCGGACGGGAACAGTAAAAGTACTTTTAAGTATTTTTAAAGTACATTTTGAGTACTTTAGAAGCTTAATGAAAGGGTAGGTGCCGGCATTCAGATCACAATTTACGGAACAAACACATGGGCGGGCACAACCGATCAACCACGAGTGAAAAGTTGAGATCAAAGATCGGTCCGTTGCGTCAAAGATCAGCCACTCCCGTGAATGTGATCACATACACGTTGTAAAACTCGATGACGCTATGCAATGTTTGCCCCGGACGGGATCACACCGAGGTGTGAACTGACTGATGGGTTTCTTTTCCCCAAACATCGCACTCGCATCTGAGCTCGCCACCTAAACTTACATCACTCGCTGGGTGGGTAGGGCCTACAAGTTTGCTCCAGGCAGGATCACATCGAACTGTCAACTCTTCCCTGGCCATTGAAGGTAATTTTTCTCTATTCCCGAATTTGCGAGACAGCCTGAATTTTAATAGGTGTGGTCACAACGTAATGGTGCGTAATGACAAAGGCAGGGGGATTCAATCAGAGATGGAAAACTAAAATTTTAGGACAGGTAAAGGGGAGGGGCAACTGGATAAACGTAGATAAAGATCTCGAGACTCACGATAGGCTAACGATTATATTGCATGCCTCATGCCATTGTGATTGGTCATCAAGGTTGACTACTCTTTGCTCATCCATGTCATAAACCCACCCAGGGGTCACCTCAGTTCATGGGTCACTATAGATTCTTCCTCGGCTTCATCGGCTAAGATCCCGTATTTTCCTTGCTCCTGAGCACTAGGATTTTTGTCACGTGGGGATAACTTGAGAACGACAGATGTACGCCATTGGCCGATATTTATAGTAACAGCCATCTTGTGTGACGTCATTGAGGGATTCCCACTTTGTTGTGCTCACGGTGGCAACACGACCGCACAGCACTATTGCAGTATTTTTAAAGCCTGTAGCTTACAGTGGCGTGGTGGCGGAGTGGTTAGTGCGCTTGTCTCCAAAGCAGAAAGTCCAGGTTCGAGCCTCAGTTTGGTCACAGATTTTTTTTAGCCCCCTCCTGCTAGGGCTGGATCCTGCTCGTCAAATTTGAGAGTGGCGATTCGCGATTCAGTCGGCTTCAATGAATCGTGAGTACGCGAGCGCTCGTGGAGCTGTGGTGGAACACTGACTGAAACAGAATAGTGTCATATCAACGCCACTTGGTGAGCGCAAGTCACACTCTTGTTGTTCCGCCATCCTCTCCGCCCAACACCCTTCGTTGCGCTGCTCTATCAACTGACCTCAATTAGTGATCCCCACCCCAAACCCCACCATTCGCTAAAACAATGGCTCCATAAAATTCCTTCTGTCTATTGGTTGGACCCCATTCATTTTGTTTGAATAGGGGGGTTGGACCATACCATCTTTTGTAAAATAAGGGGAGCCATACTAAGTGTTCCGTTCCGTTCTTGCGCTCGTGACTCGACTCAGCAGTAAACAAGCCACAAGGTGGTGACAGCGACAGGGGAGTGAATCGGGAATCGTTTGGCGATACTGTTCCGCGTTCCGCTGAAGTGAATCGCGTTCCGCAGGAAAGAGTGACGATTCAGTTCCGTTCTCGCGCTCGTGACCCAGCCCTACCTCCTGCCCACCCACATGTTATGGGTACCTGACTTCGAGTTGGAGAAGTAAAGGACTAATTTAAAAAAAATAAAGTTGCAATCATCTATTTTGTAGATGAATCTAGCAGTAGCCATGGTAATGGGGGCCATGTTTTGTATGTTTTTTAAATCCATCAAAGTCACAAAATTAAATTTAAAAAAAAAAATCAGTCCTTTACTTCCCCAACTCGGAGACTTAACAGTCTTGAAAAAAAGTCAAGATATTTTCGATTGAAAGAGGGGGATGTAGCCCGGTTTCAGAGGTAAACTTAGCAAGAAAAGGGCTGCTAAAGTTTGGCGATTTCCATAGTTTGAGAGTCTTTTGAAACTGAAAATGTACATTTCCTGTACCTTTAGTCAACATTTTCAGTAAAATACACACAGAAATGTGTTTTTAAACAGGTATATAAGGTGTTGAGCAGAAAAAAAAATATTCAATAGAAATTTCCAAATGGGTGGAAAAATGTTGGTTTCTACCATTTCTATATTTTGACGAACGCCAGATTTCACCACGATGCCTCACATATGGACAATGATCACAGATAAAAATTCATTTTGTGCAGACAAACTAACACAAAACACCACAACCATTCTCTTACCAGTGAGGACAGTTGGAGCTCAGAATCTGTTTGACCGCTCAAGTGATCAGAGAGCTAAAAAGAGAAGAAAACAAAAATCTTTTTTAAAAGTTATTTCTTTACTGCAACAAACATAGACAAAGGTCTCCTTCTTGAAAATGTTTATATTGTCCTTTGCACATAACGTCATGGCTACCCCTGTGTTGGCCTTATGGAGAATGGAGACAGTGGATGTGCATATTAGTACATGGTACATGTACAAGTTAGTTCCAAGTGGAGATCTCAAGTAGACCTTTCCTCAAAGATGACATACGGCGCAAAAAATTGGCCAAAATCGTGCCTCTTAGTTTCCCAGCCCAGCGACATCTGAAAGTCATTAAATCACTGTCGGAACTACTCTGTGTCGGGTTACATAAGGGTCACTGGCCGCTCCTGCACGCATCAGCTACAGGCGGGCAAGTCATGGCGTAATCCACACTTTTGACACTAAATATCGGCAGCATCCTCACTCTAACCACGAAATATTCCATACCAAAAGAAAAGACCAAGTTTGCCCCTCACAGTCTGTGAAAACCCAACCTAAATGCGATTATATTTGCCCAGTTACTGTGTGTACAAAATGTTCTCAATTTCAACTAATTTAATCTATTATGTTTATCGCGCTTAAGGCTTTAAAAAAATTTTTCAGTTGTCAATAAATTTCACAGATTTTTGGTACATGTATGGAAATCATAATGTTCTTTCATGTGTGTACATTTCATCAAAGTCGGGTGAATGGTTGTTGAGAAATTAAGTTACATCCATCTGATTCTCATCCAGTGCCTTGTTATTCGCCAGAGTAACTGCGCTTGCTACAAATTCTATGCCCTATTAAGTTTTACAGTTTTCCATCAAGTTCAAAGATTATAGTTTTCATTTTTGGGAGACACACTTGCGCTGTTTTGTATAGGGCTAGAGTAACTAAACGATGTTTTGAACTTTAGAGATAAAATAATTGCATTCCAATTAAAATGAAGTATAAAATATGATCAAAGTAATGATGTGAAAAATTGTAAACAAACCTCAGACTCAAGAGCAGCCACTTTCTGTTCTGAAGTTCTCAAGGTGTCTCGAAGTACAGAGAGTGCTGATGATAGAAATTCAGACAGCCATGACATTTATTGATGTAGCAAAAAAGCAGTACAGACGGTTTAAAATCTGACTTATACTGAGTCCCAATGGTAAAACCAGGGTTTTCTTTAACAAGGAGTTGCAATTTATTGCATTTAATTGTAGTGAGGAAATATCCGATGATGTGTGGATTTACTAGTTGTACAGAAAAATATACTCTTTGAATTGGAATAGAAAATCCAACTTCATATAATATCTCGTCTCTAGTTCCCCCTGTTAATCTTAATCAACCACTTTTTATAAGACCAGACTCACTTCAAGCCTCTCATGCAAGCAACAAAATATATCTATAAACTAACAAAAGTACTTGCTTTGATTTGACAAAAAGTCTTGATTTGTAGACACTCCACAGAAGCCCAATGAAAATATTTATTTAATGCTGGGTTCAAACTCCATACACTAACAACAAATTGAACTTAACTATAATAATAAACAAAATGAAATTGTAAAAAAAAAGAAGTGCATTATAAATTTTTACTGAAATAAAAATGAAGAAGCATTTTGTTATATCAATTACAAGAAGTAAGCAGCAGGCTGGTATTTATAAATCTATGAGATATTTACACTCAGTGGTAGGATCTATGAATTACATGTTACATCCATCCCTGTAACAAAAGGCAAAAGGGAAAGTAACCATGACTCAACGAGAAAAACCCAGTAGAATGGGAGTAAGTAAAGCCATTAACTCAAGCTGATAGCCATACATTTGAAACAAGTCAATACTTAGGAAAGCCCAAAGTGTTGTAAATGTGCAACTCAAACAGATGGAGAGAAAAACAGGCCTAATGTGCAAAGTTCATTGAATATAAGAATTGCATCAAGTTACCCTTCTTATGGTACAGAAGATGAGTGAGATTACTCTCCACTCTGAAAGTGTCATTTGTCATTGCTACTGATCGGCTCAAAGAAGTTCCTGATGAACATTAGGAGTTTTAAAGAGAGATTTCATCTTGGAAAAAAGAACGAAAGAGGTTTAAAATACCATTAAACATAGATTAAAAACTTGAACAATGAAGCTCAAAGCTCAAGAGATGATTAGCATGAGTAACAGAGTGAGGGTGTAGATCTATACTAAACAATTCTCACAAGATGCTAAGAGAGTTATTCATTTCTTCTTTTTTTAATCATGGAAAAGTAACAAGTTATTCTTATGATTTCTTGTTATTTTTGTGTGATGAAAATAAGGCCTATAATTTGAGAGAAAAAAGCAATTAGACAGTTTAATTAGACTGACCAGTGAGTTCTGTAGCCTAGTTATGAAATTCCTCCTACAGTCTTACCGCTGGGGAGTTGAAACACCTTCAATAAAATTTAACATAAAAAAAAAACAGCACTCAGTGAGGAAACTCGACTGGTGGGCTTCCTGAAGTAATGTAGAATTTGCCATTAACTTCATGTGAAAAAATGTTACATAGTACCCTCGAAAGCAGAATCGACAGTCCGATCTATCTTCACTGCACTCTCCTTCAGGAGGGAATTGACTTCTGACAGGACTTCATCTGACTTGGCGAGGTCTTTATCAACTGCAATACAAAAACATAATTTTTTTTTAGCACTGCCAGACTAATTCAGCTTTTACAAAATTATATAGTATTCACAAATATTATATTGTATGTCAAAATAGTGACAACAGGATGCACAGGGGGGAATTATTTACTAAATTCTAGTGTATACTGTGTGAGTTACACATTAAAATACAAGATTTTTAAAAATTCTTGAGAAGAAGCTACAATTATTCAAAAGTAAAAATCTGGCTACACGTTATCAGTAAAGAAAAGTGAATGACACTAATGGCCAGATACCTGTCATATGTTTTAAAAGTTATTATTACGTACATTTATTTTCACTGTAACTGGGTTTGGAACGCAACAGTAATTTCAATCATAGTTCAGTTCAAGCAAGACACTCTTTAATAATATGGTCTTCTAAAAGGTGGAAGTTATTGATCATCAATATTAAGGCATTATTAAAACGATTGCTGATAATGCACAGAGTTAATTCAATCAGGTCTCTCAAACTAAGGAAGTTACACAAAAGCGGAGCCCCGTCCCCCCCAAGGAAAAAAATAGGAATTTAAAAAAAAATTAACTTTGCAAAGGGAATCCACTCAGAGGAGAAGCAACAATATTTATAATACATATAACCAAAATAATCATTGGTTCAAGTTGATTTTCTCTTTATTACACAAAAACTAAGGGCATCATCAGTGGGGTACCTGACTGGTGTGTTTCCATCCATTGCACTGGATTTTCAAAACATTCACAAACCAGTTTCTGTTCTTGTGTAATAGCCAACAGCTCCGACTTCAGCTGCTGTTTCCTCTGAGGACACATGATATGACTATTCAAAATAATGTGCAGGATGGACAATTACAGCAATTATAAAAATGTGCATAAAACCCCATCATGCCCTTAATCGGAGGGAAAAAAATCATGCATATCTGCACCAGCACTTTCTGTTCTAAATTTAAGCATACTGCTGACATACAACCAAACTTTACTAAGGACTTGAATAATGCACAATAGAAGTCACCTTAAGTTACTTAAGGTCTTAACTTAAATACAACTTATTGGATTTTCATGACCAATTGACGAGTATGTACAGAAAAGTTGTGAAAAAGAGAAATGATTAAATATGGAGGTCATCAGTGTGGTCAACCCAAGTTTAGAACATTCACATACATATAAGAAGCACAGTCAAAGTTGAACACAAACGTACTTAAATTAAAGACGATGACAGTGAGGGAAAGAAGAGTATATATATATATATCACCTTTAAAGTTTATCATAGTCACTGACTACTTGCCCCAACAAATATACCTATAAATAGACTCTATGTACAATAATGGGCATGTCATCAAACTCAGCAGATTCAAAAAACTTTTTGACTTTGACTATGCAGACGATATTGCTCTTTTCAGGGATGCCACTCAACTTTTTTGAAAAAAGCTGAAAATCCACACGCCCGGCGTGTGTTTTCCCGACTTGCAGGGTTGGTGATTTAAAAAAAAAATAATAAAAACCCAAAAAATCGTTTTAAAAAAAATTTTGATCAAGATTTTTAAAATTTAAATCGGATTTTTTTTTTTTTTAATGTCGACACAGTTTGGGATTTTTGATTGCTAAAAGTATATTCTTTTAGTGCAAAATGCATTGTCTTTATTTTAACTAATGATTAATTTAAGCAACCGCAAAAGAAAGCCTTAATCTGCTAATATATATATCAGTGAATTATGGCTACAGAGAAAAAATGAAGAAAATGTCAGTCTAAAAGGAAGGGGGGGGGGGAGAGTAATTATGCATAGATAAACTTGCATTTTATTACAGTGTGTGTGTGTGTGTGTGTGTGTGTGTGTGTGCGCGCTTGTGTTTGTCTAAAAAGAAAAAGAAAATGTTAATTTCAATAATGAAAAAAAAAAGTAAATTGAATACTGTATTATTTTACAGTGACAGGGGGAAAGCAAACTTTTAAGCATATTATATTAGTCTACTAAACCTTATATCTGTTTTATAAAACCAAGGAAAGGAATTCTGAATGTTTAAAGATGTAAAAACAGAATACATTTTTTAAAAGTGATTTAAATCACTGAGTTTTATTTTTAAAATCAAGTTGATTTAAATTTTTAAAAATCAACTGATTTAAATCTACCTGATTTAAATCAACCCAACCCTGATTTCAATTATGAAAAAAAAAGTCAATTGAATACTGTATTATTTTATAGTGACAGGGGGGAAAGCAGACTTTTAAGCATGATTATATTAGTCTACTAAACCTTATATATACAGTCGAACCTGTGTAAGACGGCCACCCATTGTCAAGGAGAAAAGTGGCCGCATAAGACAGGTGGCCGTCTTAGGCAGGACTGATCAAGACGAAGAAAACAAACCATTTTTTTCTGAGGTCCCACCCGAAGGTAGCCGCATTGTTGTTGTTGTTGTTGTTATGTTGTTGTTGTTGTTGTTTTCGCTGGGGTTTTTTCTTCTTTTTTTTCTTTTGTTGCTGCTTTTGTACAAGGATGACAATAAAACGAAATGTGTGAGACAAGGAGGACTGGGTGCTATGGTAAAACAAACACACGTGTCGCTACCGTTTGGAGAACGAGCGGCGATTCTGTCACAAGTTCAGGTTGACGTCCTTTGTTACAGACGGGGTAAACAGTGATCACTCATCTCACTTACGATTTGTGTGTATGAATTGTGGGCGGGGCTTATGGGATATGAGGGATCACACGCTTACCTCACCAGCAGCTGCAAATTAATTTTGTTACTTATTGGTCAACAGTGGGAGGGGCCTACGCTACATGATCGGTTGGAGGGACTACCTAACAACAACGACAGGTGATTAGATTATGACGGCTCGCTGACAACGCCAGGGGCCAGTGCACAATTTTTGACAAAACGTAATGGATTCACTCAGGTGGCCGTCTTAGACAGGTGTATTTGCTTTGTGTGATAGGGGTTGTGTGTTAAAATATGGTGGCCGCGGCGGACAGGTGCCCGTTTTATACAGTTAAATTATATAGAAAAAACGCAAGGGGGGAAATGGAAAGTGGCCGTTTGTACAGGTGGCCGTCTTATAGAGGTGGCCGTCAGGGCAGGTTTGACTGTATATATCTGATTAATAAAACCAAGGGAAGGAATTCTGAATGTTCAAATATGTAAAAACTGAATACATTTTTTAAAAAGTGATTTAAATCACTGATTTTTACTTTAAAAATCAAGTTGATTAAAATATAAAAAATTCAACTGATTTAAATCAACCCAGCTCTGATTTCAATTATGAAAAAAAAAGTAAATTGAATACTGTATTATTTTACAGTGAAAGGAGGGAAAGCAGACTTTTAAACATGATTATATTAGTCTACTTAACCTTATATCTGTTTTATGAAACCAAGGAAAGGAATTCTGAATGTTGAAATAAATGTAAAAACTGAAGAAAATTTTTTTTTTTAAAGTGATTTAAATCACTGATTTTTATCTTAAAAATCAAGTTGATTTAAATCAAAAAAATCAACTGATTTAAAAATAATAAATCAACCTGATTTAAATCAACCCAACCCTGCCGACTTGCTGAGATTAGCACAAATCTTCCCGGGTTTTTTTCTCCCCATTATTTGAACTTATGGCGAAGTCTTCGTTTTTCCGTTATTTGAACATTTGGCGCAAGTTGTGTGTGTGGGGGTTTTTTGTTTTGTTTTTTTTTTACTATAGATTTGATCTCGATCTCTATAACAGAATAGAGGATCAGGATCAAAATACTGGAAATGTAGCAAAAAAAAGCGGAAAAGTGGCATCCCTGTCTTTTTGATACGCCACAAGAAAATCTACATCTTTAACTTCAGTTGATTTCACTTCGAAGCCATTTTTCTCTCCAAACCAAGTCTTACGACTGTAAATGTAACAGCATGCTTTACAGAAACTTCCTGAATTAAAAACAAAAAATCGTTAATATATTATATTATAGATTATAACAAGCTGAAAAGGACAAAAAAATCATAATGGTGTAACAATAATAGTACAATGCCATACCTTTAAAAGATTCTGCAGCTCCTCCTGCCATTCTTCAGCATGTGAAATATCATAGGGGTCAAGACAGTAGTTGTTCACCTCCTCTACAGTCCTGAAAAGATTAACTCAATGTTTATAAGCTGACTACCTTTAGCCATCTGCCCAAAGTTTGATAACTAAATAATACAACGTATGATAGATGCATGCATAATATTTCAGATATCTATAATGTAAGTCTGCATTTCTGTCCAAATGCTGCAAAATCCTAAGCAAGACCACTAGCCAGCAGATGCCCCCCCCCCCCCCCCCCCCCAGCCCATCAGTGCCTAGACAGCCACAGATTAACCACTGTGTAGTGACCATGGAAAACTAGGTGGAAGATGCACAGCCTTGAACTCCCTAAATCAAAAATACAACCAGTTATAAATATAAAATTATATATAACATTTACCAAATTTGAACTTCTTTTATTCTTCCATCTATTTTTTTAATTGAAAAGACCAAAATCAACTTAAAAATGTATTCTTTAAAGCTCTTCATACAACAATCCTTACATGTCATACAATTTACACATAGAATCAGCAAAAATACAAAATGTTTCAGCAATGTAATGTGTAGTCTCGTCCTAAAATATTTCAGTTCTAACGAGTAGATCTTGTCATCCATCTAAAAATAGGCTCACAGCATCACTAGATCTAGTATGATTTGAAAATTTGTATACATTCATTTTTCTTCCTCAGAAGTGTGAGGATAGCCACTTCTTTAGGCTATGTATTGTTTCCAGCGGGGGCAAGCCCCGATGAAACCCCCCACTGTTGTTAGCATAGGAAGTGGCTATCCTCACCCGGGGTGAGAATAAAAATACGATCGACCTCTCACCCCGGGTGAGACTTGCCAGCTTTGGCAACTCTCACCCGGTGTGAAACAACACCTGTTTTTCCTTATTTCGGAATACTGTCTATCGGTGTGGATAATCAAATTGACAAAATCAAAGAAAAAAATGACGTTTTAGCACAAAAGTAAGCTAATTTGATAGTCTACAAAGATGCTATGGCTATTTCACTTTTCGAATCGAGCCGAACTACGCGGGTCGCCATTTTGTTTTCACTGGAAGTTATCGCAAGATCTACTCCTCCCCTCTCTCTCTCCGTCTCTTTCTGAATTTGAATGTACTATCGGTGTGGACGATCAAATTGACCAAAACAAAGATAAAAAATTGAAAGAGGCTAGCCGTACTTAATGACGGCTAGACTGGCAGTCTAGCCGTACTTATTCTTAATATGATGGCTAGACTGACCATTTAAAAAAAAATAGGCCTACTGAATTGTAAATATAAATTTTTAGTGTGCAGTACCTAAAGTATTTGTATTTGAGACGAAACCAGGTGCCTTAATGACAGTGCATGTATTTTAAACCTCCTGTTTTCTAATGTTAATCCCGTACTTAAGGATGGCTAGACTGTCAATCTAGCCGTACTTAATATTGATGGCTGAATTGTAAATGAAATTTTTTGTTTGCAATGCCTAAGTCTTCGTATTTCAGACAAAACCAAAAGGTGCCTTACTGACTTGCATGTATTTGAACCTGAATAATTACTAGATCTAGATCTAATGAGACCTGTGTACTTAACAGGCTTCGATAGGGCCAAACCTAGATCTAAGTACGGCTAGCCACTTCGTAAAAAATTATGTTACAAAAGTAAATTAATTTGGTCGTTTACAAAGATGCTTGTTATTTAACTTTTCGAATCGAGCCGAACTACATGGGTCGCCATTTTGTTTTGCCCGGAAGTTCTCGCGCTACTCCTCTCTCTCTCTCTCTCTCACTGCCCACAAACAAAATTGAGTGCTTTTCGGTAGTTCCCACCCCCTTTATTTGAGCCTGACCTACATCTAGATCTAGATACGTTTGATTCGCGGCAAGCTAAGATATCAAACCTAACAACTGCAAAACATTAAATGGTGGTAAAATTCAGGGGGGCCCCCCTGAAACCCCAAACGGCACTACTTGGATGGTGGTCCCGTCTTTTGTGACAGGGAAATATAACCCAGGGAAATTCTAGAATCTAGTTTTGACCTCAACGACGATTATTTCCGGTTCTAAGTCTAAACGATTACTTTTTGATTCGCGGGCCGGAGAGACAGCCTTTCAAACCTAATTGATAAACATCAAATCGTGGTCAAATTCAGGGGGGGGGGGGGGGGGGATGCCCCCGCCTGAAACACCCCATGTTTTGTTTTGTTTTTAGTCAGGGGGGCAACCCCCCTTGCCTTGTAAAAAACAAAACACAAGAGCGCTGGAAAGTTTGTTCACGGCACAGAGTTCTACACTTTTGTTAGATCTATCACAATGTAGAATTCTGTGTTTCACGGTGAACAATGGTTGGCCTAGGCCTAGGCTATCACTGTGAACGCCCACCGGGTGAGAATAGCCAATTCTCACCTGCTATTCTCACCCGGGGTGAGAATAAAAATACGATCTACCTCTCACCCCGGGTGAGACTTGCCAGCGTAGGTTATTCTCACCCGGTGTGAAACAAGACCTGTTTTTCCTCATTTTGGAATACTGTTTATCGGTGTGGATGATCAAATTGATAAAAGCCAAGAAAAAATTATGTTATTATAGCACAAAAGTAAGCTAATTTGATCGTCTTCAAAGATGCCTATAAAGCTATGGCCGTCGTTATTCGGACTCGAGTCCGAATAACATTTTTTCATATTCGGACTCGAGTCCAAATAACAAAAATTCTTATTCAGACTCGGGACCGGAAAAAAGGAAGTGTCTTCATTCTATAGATCTAACGTTCAGTGCTTCCAATTTTCCGCCATTTTTTAGTTTCCCCCACACCTTATCTGCCGATCCAATGCCCGCCGCCTCATTGATACGCCCCACCCCCATCCCCCATGTGTCCCACTTTCTTTGTTGCAGAAAAAGGTAAAATTGAAGATAGCAGACCACCTGGCACCTGCATATTATGAGCTGTGTAAAAAAAAAAGACCGATTCATTCAAATACAAAGCCTGTGTCAAATCGATTGTTTACCAAGAAAAAGTTGTGTTGCTGTGTAGAGCTGAGCATAATACGGCAACTTTTGATTCCATAGACCAGGGCACAATTCATTATGTAGATCTACGTCAAGACTAGCTTATTATTGTAATATGATCAGTTGCCGGGGGGAAAAAGACTGACGCGTATGTGACGTTCAACGCCCGTACCGATAGTGCCCCCCCCCCCACCCCCCTCCCCGACACGCACATAGCCACATGTGTGCAGGCCGCCCATCCGACCCCGACACACGCTAACAAGCCATCTTTAATTGCTTCTGATGACCTCTTGACAAATAAACATTTATTAGAAGCGCTATAATAACTTTTCAGGCCGGCCTCAAATTCATCATAAGATTAAAACTCGGCTCCTGCACAAAACACCTTTTAGCCCGAAGTGATCCCGGTCTCTACCCAGCCTGAGGCGAGTCACGGGTGAGGCAGGACTGGAAGCCGGATTCACGAGTCACAGGAAGTCGGCAGTCGGAAGTGATGTCATGCTGGACAAGAATCAGAGTCCGAATAACATTTTTTCATGAATAGGCTTCGTATGGCTATTTCACTTTTCGAATCGAGCCGAACTACGCGGGTCGCCATTTTGTTTTGCCCGGAAGTTCTCGCAATATCTACTCCTCCCCTCTCTCTCTTTCTGAATACTGTCTATCGGTGTGGACGATCAAATTGACCAAAACAAAGTTAAAAAACAAAACTAAATTAATTTGGTTGTCTACAAAGATGCTACGGCTATTTAACTTTCCGAATCGAGCCGAACTACGCGGGTCGCCATTTTGTTTTGACTGGAAGTTCTCGCGCTACTCCTCTCTCTCTCCACTGCCCACAGACAAGATTGCACGCTTTTAGTTTTGGTAGTGTCAATTGCCACCGAGTGACGCGGTGGCAATTGACAAAAATTGACTTTTTGTCAATTGCCACCGAGTAAATTGGAGCTCTTTTGCGTTGGTGGGTAGATCTAGCTTTTTTTGTGCTCGAGTGCTCTATGTTGTGCGTTCGCCTCTCTCTCTGTGTGTGTGTGTGTGTGTGTTTTCCTGACCCCCGCCCCCCGATTTATGTTCCCCGATATAACGTGAATTTCTGCTTGAGTTTGTGTGCGTTTGTGACCTTCTAGGCCTACTTCTAGAATTGCCTGTGTTCGCTCTTCACCACAGTGTAGGCTAAGGCTATCCTAGATCTAGATCTAAATCTAGATACGTCTTATTGAAAACACGCCAAGTTGGTACCGTAGCTCTTGACTAGATGCTCGTCCAATGAAATTAGTTGAGAACAAATTGACCCATTGGACACACATTATTATAATGCTAAAGATAGTGTTGTTTTCAGGGCACTAGTGAGTCGAGTTGTGATGTCCCCACTCAGGGGGCGGCCATTTTGGCTAAATCTGTCAGGGGATCTCCAGATTGGGCGCGCATTTTCGGCAGTTCCCACCCCGCTTATTTGAGCCTTGATCTAGATCTATTATAGGCTATGTTTGATGCTCGACGAGCGAGAGATATCAAACCTATCTGCAAAACATCATTTTATGATAAAATTCAGGGGGGCAGGCCCCCCTGAACCCCCCTCTATATTTTTATTTCGTCCTGAAACCCCCCAAGCCTACTCTCCAAGCCTACTCTCGGGGCCAAAACCGGCGAAAGACGGCCCAATCTGGAGATTCCCTGACTGATTTTGCCAAAATGGCCGCCCCCTGGGCCGGGACATCACAAGTCGACTAGTCCCGTTTTCAGACTGGAAGTGGCTATTCTCATCCGGGGTGAGAATAGAAAAACGATCTACCTCTCACCCCGGGTGAGACTTGCCAGCGTAGGCTATTCTCACCCGCTGCGAAACAAGACCTGCTTTTCCTCATTTTGGAATACTGTCTATCGGTGTGGATGATCAAATTGATAAAAGCCAAGAAAAAATTACGTTATAGCACAAAAGTAAGCTAATTTGATCGTCTTCAAAGATGCTATGGCTATTTCACTTTTCGAATCGAGCCGAACTACGCGGGTCGCCATTTTGTTTTGCCCGGAAGTTCTCGCAAGATCTACTCCTCCCCTCTCTCTCTCTCTCTGTCTCTTTCTGAATACTGTCTATCGGTGTGGACGATCAAATTGACCAAAACAAAGTTAAAAAATGATGTTAAAACACAAAAGTAAATTAATTTGGTTGTCTACAAAAAAGATGCTACGGCTATTTAACTTTTCGAATCGAGCCGAACTACGCGGGTCGCCATTTTGTTTTGACCGGAAGTTCTCGCGCTACTCCTCTCTCTCTCTCTTTCCACTGCCCACAGACAAAATTGTACGCTTTTACTTTTAGTAGGCTACAGTTGTAATGGAACGTTTGTTCACGGCACAGAATTTCCGCCCAGAATTCTACAATGTTTCTGTTATCACAGTGTAGAATTCTGTGGTTTAGGGTGAACGCAAAATTTGTTGGCCTAGATCTAGGCTATAACGGTGAACGCGCACCGGGTGAGAATAGCCAAAAGACTCGCCTGCACTATTCTCATCCCGGGTGAGAATAGAGGTGGCCTTTCAGACTTGACACCGCTTCACTCGCTGGCAATTGACAAAAAGTCCAGGTAAATTTTTACTTTCACTCCCGCACACAAATGCACTGTTTCAGGGGTCAAACTGCTGTACTGTTTGCTGCAGATCACACATAAAGCCACTAAAACTGTCGCAAATCAATTATTTTCAAGACAATTTCAAATCTAACTGTAAAATATCAAATTATGGGTGTAAAAACAGGGGGGCATGCCCCCCTGTAACCCCCCAGATTTTCTTTTACCCCAGTGGGGCAGGCCCCCCCTGGAACCCCCCGATTGGTCCAAAGCATGTCTATCTCGGTTAAAAACAATCAAATATTTCAAAAACCATTAATTTGCGACGGAAATGAAGTTGATATTCGTGTTCAGCGCATCAATATTTAGTAGAAAATGGACAACTGGTAGCTGAGTGTGAGACGGGAGGGAAAGTAAAAAAATACCAAAGTCCATTTTTGTCAATTGCCACCGCGTCACTCGGTGGCAATTGACGCTACCTTTTAGTTTTAGGCTAACACTAACAGTAGTAACAGTAACAGTAGTAGTAGATCTAGATTTAGATCTAGATATATATCTAGATCTAGATCTATTACTAATCTAGATTTCTAGATTAGATTTAGAACGTTTGTTCACAGCACAGAATTCTATAATTCTGTTATCACAGTGTAGAATTCTGTGGTTCAGGGTGAACGCTTCACTGGTTGGCCTAGGCTGAACGCCCATCGGGTGAGAATAGCCAAAAGACTCGCCTGCGCTATTCTCACTGAGAATAGAGGTGGCCAGAATGAAAGTGGCTATTCTCACCCGCCCGGAAGTTCTCGCAAGATCAACTCTTCCCCTCTTCTTTCTCTCTCTGTCTCTTTTAATACTGTCTATCGGTGTGGACGATCAAATTGACCAAAACAAAGTTAAAAAATTATGTTAAAACACAAAAGTAAATTAATTTGGTTGTCTACAAAGATGCTACGGCTATTTAACTTTTCGAATCGAGCCGAACTACGCGGGTCGCCATTTTGTTTTGCCCGGAAATTCTCGAGCTACTCCTCTCTCTCTTTCTCTCTCTCTCTCCACTGCCCACAGACAAAATTGTACGCTTTTAGTAGGCTATAGTTGAAATGGAACGTTTGTTCACGGCACAGTTTTCTACAATTTTTCCTCACAGTGTAGAATTCTATGGTTTAGGGTGAACGCAAAATTTGGTGAACGCGCACCGGGTGAGAATAGCCACAAGACTCGCCTGCACTATTCTCACTCCGGGTGAGAATAGAGGTGGCCGGCCAGAATACTGAGGTGGCCTCAGTAGCATAATTCTAGTCTAGAATCTAGCTAGTGTGCATTAATACAGGTAAACACAGTGGGTCCACCAAAGTTCAATCCAGCCGTTGTGGGATTCGTCTGTTTCAATTAAGACGATATAGGTTATAATACACGGGAAATCGCGAATAAAGATCTACCTTCTTATACTAGACAAGTGTTTTGTTGTCGTCTCCATTTTGAAATTGAATTCGCCGCTAAATATGGCCAGATAATTGAGTAAAGTGATGGAAAGAAGCAAGTTACCTAAGACGCCCCATAACGTTCTGCTATCAGTAAGAATTGAGATAAGATTTATTAGTTCTTGCTACTCTTTTACACTGAAAACATTAGATCTAGTCCAAAAATTTGTAACACGTTACTTCTGTTAACAATTAGTGCCAACAATCCATAAAATCAAATAAGTGAAATATGCAGGAATAAAATGGACAAGCTGGCAAAAACGTGTTTTAATTATTCCTCCTCCTTGAAGAACAAACCAAAGATATGCCTGATAAACAATTTTGTTTTGAAACAAGATTTCTTTCACTCAGGATAAATCACTATTGCTTGCTTCTTTTTTGTGTGGACAAAAACTAGATCTAGGTAATTTATATAAAATGAATAAAGGTTCGTTTGCGCCTTTTTACTTACTGTCAATTTGATTCTGTATTTATATAATCTCAGTCTGCACAACTCTGAATTACCTGTCTCTTGAAGACTCTAAACATGACAGCTAAAACTGCCTGCTATCTCCGCTGCTAAGTGCGGCTAAGCTTAGATCTCAATGCTAGGGCTAGAGGTTTAGTGAGTGAGCTTTTTGTTTTTCTTCCTCAACACTCGATCATAACATAACATCATCACGTAAGCTTATTTTTATAGATATCTTCTAGATCTATGATGGCTTCACTCTGAATATTGTAGCTGGAATTGCTCGTTTGGCTGGGTTTTTTCAAAGTCAAAACCGGCTGATAAAGATGAATTTACGTTGTTCCCGACTAAACTAGACTCTAGAATCTAGAATCTAGATTCTAGCTCTAGATTGGACTAGACCTCTAGATCTAGATATAGATCTATCTAGATCTAGATCTATACTCTAGATCTATACTCTAGATCTAGTTTAGTAAAGTAAAGAGTTGTTTAGTAGATTAAAACATTTTAAATGCTTATTTGACCTGGCCTGATCCCTGGTGTTGCTCTCTCATAAAACTAAGTTGCCCCTCCCACAACCACGGCACGGCCCATTATTTGTGCAGGATTACAGGACCCCTGCTCTTGTTGACAACTTTTGGTTTTAGTACAACAAATCAGCTCTGAACCTCTCGACTATTATCAGTATAATTAGGCCTACTTGAATAATTGATAACTTTTAATACCACAGTGATTATTCTCACCTGAGGTGAGGATAAACTGGATATTATTCTCACGCCGGGTGAGAATAAAATTTCATACTAGATCTAGATTTCTAAATCTAGAATCTAGATCTAGTTATTTTCACCCCGGGTGAGAATAACGACAGCCTACTATTCTCACCCGCTTTTTTCATTTCGGGCATCATAGGACCCCTGTCACTGAGCACTCCAGGCGACCAAACTCGCCTCCATCCCTCTCTCACTCCACTGAGCGCGGTGACTAAAATTGAGAACGGGCGGGCCAGCTCTCGGGCGCGAGAGGCGACTATTGTCGATTTGGGGAAAAACCTTATCTTTTGACCAAATAGTGTCACCTTTTGTTGCTACAGTATTAATTTATTGGTTCTATAATGGAAAATTTTACTCTTGAATGGTTTTACAACCAATCAAAATTAAGAAAAACATAAGCCTAGGGTCAAGGCACTGCATTCCTTAAAAATAATCGTGGGTTCTGCTAGGGATAACAATTAAACATGTTTTTTGTGTTGAAAACAAATGCCAATTCTAACATTACAAATGACAAACTATTACTATTATTTCATTAAACAGCTTTCAGTTAAAGGCTATTATTTTTAAAAACATACTACTCTGGCAAGTGAATTCCTTTCTGAATTTAGAATATATTTACACTTGTCTAGGGTTTTGGTGAAGACATGCGTGCATGCTCTCAACTCAACATTTTTAAAAAATGAAACAATAACAATCCCCGCGGGAGCCTAGAAAAATCGGCCAGCGCTATCTGGGGCAGGTCACGAACGGCCACTCTCTTACAATTCACAAATTATTTTCTACATCCGTTCTCAACACCCAGGTAGACCTAAAAATCCATTGCATTCTCAGACCGGGTGAGAATAATATTCATTTTATTCTCACCCGGGGTGAGAATA